GTTTTTTCTACTTACCCTCTCAAATTCCTGTATCTCATTTATTTATTTATGGGGTTGTTTCAAACATTTATTAAACACCTTTCTCCCTTGGCAAAACTCAAGGCAGCTTACAATATAAATAAAGCTTTATTTTTAAAAAACACAATAAAAACTCAACAATGATTTAAAAAACCCCATAAAAAGTCATAATTTAAAAACTCGAATTAGGACTACCAGTAAATAAAAACGAAGTTAGTCAAACGAAATCCTAAATGGAACTATCTTCAACTGCCTCCTGAAGATCGTCAGTGAGGGGGCCAGGCACACCTCCCTGGGGAGGTCGTTTCATAATTGTGGGGCTGCCACCAAAAAAGCTCTTTCTCATGTGCCCACCAGACAAGCCTCTTTGATTGGTGGCACAGCCAGGAGGGAATCTCCCTGCCATCTTAATTCCCAGGCAGGAACGTATGGGAGAAGACAATCCTTCAGATACCCCAGTCCCAAGCCATGTAGTACTTTAAAGGACAAAACCAACACCTTGAACTGGGCTCGGGAGTAGTATTGGGGACATGTGCTCCCAGTAGCTGGCCCCGACCAGCAGTCTAGCTGTAGCATTCGGCATTAGCTGCAGCTTACGAACACTCTTCAAGGGTAGCCCAGAGTAGAGCACATTGTAATAGCCCAGTCTAGATGTAACTAAGGGATAGATCGCTGTGGCTAGATCAGAGGTGTTGAGAACTTATTTGTTACGAGGGCCAGATCTAACATAAATGTTACTTTGTTGGGCCAGGCCATGTGTGCCATAAAACATAATACTAGGTACTAGAGATAAAAACTTTATAAATGACACAGGCAAACCCAATTAACAATATTATTTTTAATTAAATACAAAGAAAAGCAATTAATTCCTAGGAGGGGAAGCAATTGATTTACTGGGGAATTCACAAACGCCCCAGTAAATGTATTTAATAATACGCAAGACTAGGTTTTTTCCCAAAGGATACCATAAAAGAAGGGTACCCTACATATCCGTACAAATTAGTTACTTTTTGTATATATAGCACTTTCAGGAGACAAGCAATCTTCCTTGCAAGTAAATAAGGTAGTTTTTAGCACACACCGTATGAAAGCTGGCTGAGCCCCATGGGCCCCAAAAGTGTTGCCCCCCCCCCAAGTTCTCCTTTTTAGCAAACCTGTACTTAAGGGGGCAGTGAAATGTCAGAAGAAGCACCAATATCGCTGCTTCACATCTGTGAGGAAAGTGCTCTGGTCTTAAAACCCTTGTTCACTTCAAGTAGAAATGTGGTGTTCCCTCAAGCCCTTCCTTTGATGAACGGTGTTCATGTTAATCTGTAAATGCACAAGTCCATGGTAGTGATGTATGTACCAGCCCTAGAATACTATTTCTCATTCATTCATTCATTCATTCATTCACTCTTTCTTTTTCTTTCTTTTTCTTTCTTTCTCTCTTTCTTTTTCTCTCTTTCTTTCTCTTTATTTGAATTCCACTCCTGGTTGAAGAAAAGTATGTTATGATGACCTAACATTAGATAGTACCTTCTGGCCAGCACGAGGGAAGAATTTTGCAGTGACCACACAGTGTAGCCGGAATGGAAGCCTCCTCTGTTCCTGGTGTGCAAGCATCAGAGGTTCCACTACACTAATGACAAAATATGATTTTTCTTTCTTCCCTAGATCAGAAGAACTCTGCACAACAAGGTCTGAGAGTACTGGCATAACGTGTTCAGAAAGGGTAAGAAGTGGATGAGTAAGCCAAGCGTTTAACAAACCACAAATGACATTTAGAAGAGTAGCTGGCAGTCACTAGACAACCTGTTATGTACATTGCCTGAAGTTAACGCGTTGTACCAGCACTTGGTGGACAACAAAGGAGAACAATTAACTAAGCCTGCCCTTAGTATCTCCCGGGTCCTGATTCTCTGTTCTCTTTCACTGACTGCAGAAGAACCAAAATATTAATACATATAAAAGGGGGTGAGGAGGAATTAAGAAGGATATTTAGATCAACATCCACCTTAAGGCATATATTGTGTTCTCAATAAGGGCATTTTTTTAAAACTAGAGATCAGTAACTCCCAAATGGCATGCTGGGAAACTCCAGTGTGCTGCGAGCACCTGTTACTCCAAAGCACCCACTCACAGAAAAGGATGCCTGCTACATCTCTGCATGATCAATTGCTCTGGCCTTGCCTTCTTCCAATCAGATACCTCTGAAGTCCTGCCACATCTGTGCATTGGATAATTCTATGACTCCTGACAGAGGGAAATGACTTGCCCCCAAGGCTGCTGCATGTTGCTTCTCTGCATGAGTCACTGCTCTGGTCTTGTCTTCTTCCAGTTAGGAGACATCCTGGTAACTCATTCAGACACACATGGGGCTAAGCGGCTTGGGTTACTTCTTATTATTAGACACTAAGAGTGAAATTTTATAATGCAGTAGTGAAGCATGCCTACACTTTTAACTCAGAAAAGACTGTCAAAAGTTTGCAAAATAGTCATAAATTGTAAAAGGATAATACTATTGCTGCTTTAATAGGGGGACCAGTCAACCACCAATTAAGGGAAATATCCCCCAATTCTCCAGAGTTCATTACTGATTTCTAAATTGCTACTTGGTCCTTTAGACAGTGCGCTCCCATGCTTTTAAAATCAGTGTGAGCATGTTTTTTGCAGGGTGTCATAGTCTTCTTTGATGAAAACTGCGGCAAGCAGAAGCCAGATTAATCACATGTGCAGACAGCCCCCTTGGGACGGCGCTAGAGAAGTAGATTTCACAGTACCACTTGTCTTTAATTAAAGCTTTTTTTAATGCAAATTCTAGCCAGCCATTCATTATGCCACATGTTCTGTTCTTCCAACTGATCTCCTTGCAGATTACAGAACAACAACAACAACAACAAAAAACCCCTCAGAAGACATGCAGATTTAATTACACAATGTGAAGGCATTCCTCTCATCAACTAATGCAATGAAAACAGCACTTAGCTGTAAGGGAGGATATGAGCATTCTTGAGATCAGTCTCTTTCAGCTAAACTTCCAACTTTTTTGGTCATAAATTGACATTTAAACCTGCACAAGTTGTATTTCACTTCTTGCTTGCCACCACAAGTAATGAACATTAATTGGGAGGGATTAAAGGTTTTTCTCTGTGTGTACAGAGTTCTGACTGTCAACAGACTTACCTTGTCCCATTAAGTTTAGTAGAACCTGGAGTCACCTCAACATTATTACAACCAAACCTTGGCTTCAATCTCTCACCCTAAAGAAACTGAGGAGGTCTTTACCATAGAGATTATGGGAAATTCCTAGAGCATCACCCAGAATTGACGTCACATCCTCCCCAAGCTCTACCCTCCCCAAGCACCAAATTCAAAGTCTTCCCCTACAAACAACTCATAAGCACAAATAATGTTGCAAAGGGGTGAAAAGCCATGAACAATGTATGTGGATATTATACCTATATATTATTGAACTGGGAACCCGATTCAAGTACAATATGTAGCATATGATGCTGCTGTCACAGAAGTGTAACCTCAGTATAAACAACAATTGATTTTTTTTCATGTTGATGATTCACAGGGTTTGGTAGGTGATCCTGACAAAGGAGGAAGGCGATATAGATTGCAGCAGACTTTCTCCACATTGGACAGTTATCTTTTGAACAGAACATGTACTATACTAACAGTGCAATCCAAAACACAGTTGCATCCTTCTAAGCTCATCAATTTAAATGGACTTTGAATGGTTCAACCCTGCTTAAAATGGCACTGCAAACCAGGCATCCCAGCCACATCCATATGGCTTAAATGAATTCAAGAGGAAGGCAGTTAATAAGGAAACACTCACCATTTTAATTTTTCTTTTCGACAGCTGCTGTAATACAAGCAGATGAGACTGACCATGCAATTCTAAATGGCATTACATTGTTCTAAGACAACGGAAGTCAATATGGTTAGAAGGGTGTAACTCTGCTTAGGACTGCACTATGAATGAGCCACCATGCCTAATCACCATTTCACAGCTTCCAAAGAAAACAGTCCAGGCTGGGATGCCAAATAATGTTGTTCTTAATTATCAGCCACAGGCCAAGGTATAAATATAGGTTAGGGTAGTTGACCAGCCTTGGGGACACGGCATACTCATTATTTTGAAGCATATAACGTTCTCCCAAGGGAGCCATTTAAAGCCTATCTAAGATTAGAGGTCCTTTACATTCTATCCTTTATTACATCCCCA